AAATATCTCTAAAGTTTCAGTCAGTCTGTCGCCTCCAAGGAAGAAGAAAAAACACTTCTAGGTCCCCATTCATTTTCCTTTCGGTACATATTCCTGATAACATAATTTTATTATCGCAGTCTAAGGATGTTTCGTTGAAAAAAAATCGGTCAGCGGACACGGCTTGTGTGGCTTTTAATTTTTCATATCTGTCCAAAGTCCTTTTTAGTTGCCTGTTTTTCGTCACTTATCGAAATAGCATTTTCACTTGAATTTTTCCCTGGCCAGTCGACCATCCGTTTGTTTACGCACCCCTAGATAACACAGCCGTTATCAAAACACATCTGATTCTTTCTTTCTTTCCCTTTCTTTTTACTCAGAATTTCCCTGTCGTTGTAATGACACCCTTTTCGCCATGGTTACTTATCAATATATTCATTGTCTCTTAGCCGTGTGTGTGTCTGCTGATCACCCACGATTTGTCTCGCCTTTATTTCTGCCTTCTTTTCTTTCTTTTCCGTTTCTGCCTCGTAAATGGTGCAACAATGCCGTAAAACAAAATAAAGCAAACCAAACCATCAATAAAAATCTTGTCTGCATTAAATAACCCATTGAGGTTGATATACCGTAAAACAAAACAAACCAAACCAAACCAGCAATAAAAATCTTGTCGGTATTAAATAACCCATTGAGGTTGATATGCCGTAAAAGAAAACAAAGCAAACCAAACCAGCAATAAAAATCTTGTCGGCATTAAATAACCCATTGAGGTTGATATGCCGTAAAACAAAACAAACCAAACCAAACCAGCAATAAATATCTTGTCGGTATTAAATAACCCATTGAGGTTGATATGCCGTAAAACAAAACAAATCAAACCAAACCAGCAATAAAAATCTTGTCGGCATTAAATATCCCATTGGTGTTGATATGCAGTAAAACAAAACAAATCAAACCAAACGTGCCACGAAATTGGCATCCTTGCCACCCGTTTACTGTTGATATAGCTAAACGCCGCCGTCACTTCTAATCCAAGTTTCTTTTCTTGCACTTCCCGCCTGTGGAATTCCCTTTCGTTTACTTGCTTCTCTGATAAATACAATCTTCAAAAATTTAAGTGCAACGTCAATCGCTATCTTCTATCATCTTGAATCCCGTTCATCTTGTGTACTTTTCTCAACAACCTTACTATACTCAGTCTTTTCTCTCACTTTCACTTTCTGTAATCTCCTGCGTACTAGTGGCAATCCCGAATTGCTTGGGGTGAAATGATTAAAAAAAAAAAATGGAAAGATAATGAGTGAAGCTTGATATGAAGAAATTTCAAGTATAGTATTCAGGGAAGCAGCTAAGTAGAACATGTTCCAGGAAGTACTTTTTCATGAAAATAAGCAATCTGAGTGAAACTTCCTCCTTACAAATGGAATACTAGTGGTATAATACCAATATCCCCGCTGAAAGAAGGCTTACTTATTGTAGAGTTGTGATACTATGAACACCCAAGTACAAAAGGTAGATGGGCTTTTATTTCGATCTCATTCTGTTTAATACCGAGCAGGTGTATTTTATTATGTCTAGTTTTCTAAACGGAACACACTTTTCCCGAAGGGGAACGGCAAAGTAACTGAGTGAATGTGGAGCATTTGGAGATTAGATGAAAACGAAACTGGAAATATGGTGTATCCGGTTGCTGATCTATATAAACTGTTTGTCAATATTTCAGAGATGAAGCAATGTAACTATTTAGATGTTTCCCTGATTTGTATTGCCATATTCACGACGTTTCAGCAATTGTACGCTCCGACCTTCTTCAGGTGATATTTGTTGGAATTTTGTACCAAACCGTTATTTTTTTAGTCTACGGAGTTAGGCTTTCCTAATTTGGCGCACCATGAATTTATAAAACACATAATGAGAAAAGAGGGCTTGGAGAATTTGACACTGACAGGTCATACTGACTGCAACAGAGCCAGAGGGAAACAGTGAGTAGCTTCATTAACGTGCTTGTGTAAATAGATGGCAGAACATGAATTGGAAGTGATAGCGAAAATACTGACCTTACTAAGAACTAATAAGGATAGGAAGAAGGGAAGAGCCATGATCACTCACGTCCCGAAAAGACACGTTACATTGAAGAAGATGGATTCCATGTGCGTTAATTATTATTCCAAACACGTATTTAAACTTGTGTTAATGGTAAATTTGACAGATTTAATAAAATTAAATTGGCAACTGATCACGAAAATGAACAACAATCAGTTGTTAACTGGGGAAAGAAAAGCCTTGTTTATTTAAACTCATCCAAAACGTAACCACTGTTCTTAAATAAGCATGCCTATGCTAACCTCTAGCAGAGTGACTCATTGCACCTTCTTGGCCTAATATTTTACACTGACATGACATGGAACTATTATATTGAATCAATTGATATGCCTAGTGTTATGAAAGATAGTTTACTGTGTTGAGATGGATACATTTTCTTGCCAATATCTCTCTTGTACATTTATATGGCTGAAATTCGTCCATACAATAAATAATTTTTGTTACATCAGGTATGATACATTCGCCGTATATTTAAAGATTCTTGACAGAATCCAAAGAAGGTAAAATACAAGGAGAATCTCAAATATCTGCCTATGTTTCTGAGATGAAGTATTATGTAAACTATTTACTTTATTTGGACTATGGTCCTCATCTTTGTCGCCATATTTATTACAACGTTTCCGCCTTTCAGTATCTGTCTATATTTCTGACATGAGGTATTATGTAAACTATTTACATTATTCGGACTATTGTCCTCATCTTTGTCGTCATATTTATTACAATGTTTCATTTATCGTCTATATTTTTTATTTTTAAAATTTGTTTCGGACCATTCAGTATCTTTGTCATATTTATTTTTCGGAGATGAGGTATTTTGTAAACTATTTACATTATTCGGACTATTGTCCTCATCTTTGTCGTCATTTATTACAACGTTTCAACCTTTCAGTATCTGTCTATATTTCTGACATGAGTATTATGTAAACTATTTATTTCGGACATTGTCCTCATCTTTGTCGCCATATTTATGTTTCAAACTATATTTCTGAGATGAGGTATTATGTAAATTATTTCTATTCATCTTTGTCGCCATATTTGTCCTCATCTTTGCCTTTCAGTATATTTCTGATTGAGGTATATCTGTTAAACTATTTACATTTCATTATTCCATTGTCCTCATCTGTCATATTTATTACAACGTTTTTTTGATTTCTGATGAGGTATTTGTAAACTATTTACATTATTCGGACTATTGTCCTCATCTTTGTCGCCATATTTATTACAACGTTTCGGCCGTTCAGTATCTGTCTATATTTCTGACACGAGGTATTATGTAAACATGAGGTATTATGCGAACTATTGTCCCTCATCTTTTCGCCATATTTATTATTCGGCCGTTCCGTATATGTCCTGACAGGTATTATGTAAACTATTTACATTATTCGGACTATTGTCCTCATATTTGTCGCCATATTTATTACAACGTTTCGGCCTTTCAGTATCTGTCTATATTTCTGAGATGAGGTATTATGTACACTATTTACTTTATTCGGACTATTGTCCTCATCTTTGTGGATAAGGCGTTGGTTAGATCCAGTGACAGGATCCAAAGAGTGTGAGTTAAATACCTGGTTAAGGCAGTGGAGAAGTTGGAGAGGAGATTTAACAGGAGAAAACTGATAACTGATATTCATTAGACATGGCACGTGGAACTAGAACAGTCTATCCCAGTGACCGAAATAAAGGGTTCAGTTCGACATTCCAACCACCTGATGAAGGCCGGAGAGTCCAACGGCCGAAACGTTGTAATGCATATGGCAACACAGATGAGGATAGTCGTAATAATGTAAATAGTAAGAATATGTACTGTTATTGGTCCTGACCTGGCATCTCAACTTCCTAACTGCTATAACCTAGGTCTGTGCTTTTTTTTTTTTTTAATAATACTTACCTGATAATTATTCTGCCGAGCTTTCCTCTCTGGTATTTCGACTTCATTAATTTAAATGCTGTTCCATATTGGCAGCTAGTTGTTGGAATTGCCAGTTGTAACCGGAAGTCTTATTCTAATAGTTCCTTTTTTGTGGCACCCTCTTCCTGTCTCTTGCTTTCCTGGCAGCTATGGTCTTCAAAAAATTTTCTTTTTCTCTTTAAATTCTGATCTTTTATTGTCCGCTCTTTCCTAAACGTTTCACGGCGTATCGCCACACCCCTTTGACATATGGGTTCCCGGACGATCGGTGAAGTTAAGCAACGTCGATCCTGGTAAATATCTAGATGCGTGGTCGCTTGTCGATGTGTCAGTGGTCTAATGAATAATGGCTCGGAAATATTGATCTGAGAGCTGAGTTCCAATTCCAGTTTGACGTATATTCACTTACGCTCAAATATTTCTTTGGGAAAGGTATGAATCCACATCTTTTCCTAATCTACCTCGTCTGACCCCCCCCCGGTATAGGTTAATTTGTACAACTTGTATCAATAAAATTATTATTATCACCCACCAAAAAAATAGCGTAAATATATTTAGATTTCGTAATTACATAACCCATAGAGGTGTCGATATGCCACTAAACAAAAACGACCATTTAATCGTTTCTCGGTTTCTTTCTAACTCAGTATCCCATTGAGTTGCTCTATCATTTTGCTTGGGGTGAAATGGTTTTAAAAAAACCTCCCGTTCTCATCCGAGGAAATCTCTAATAACTAAATTAGCTAGTTCATGTTACTGCAACATAATTTACTGTTTTAAAAGAATATGGCCGTAAACGAACATGTCATATACGAACTTGGATGCTCATGGTTTTTTGCATTTTTAATAGCGAAAATATCATTCAATATATCGCTCTTTATGGCTTTTCGACTGTTACTTATGGAATGGCTTCATAGAAAGGTTTTGGCAGTATTTTTATATGATTTAATTTGGATAGTGGCGGTGACTACACTGTCGATCCATTCGCCGCTTTTGGGGTAGGGAAATGTCTTTCGAGCCTAGAGGCGTTGATTTATTGGTTGAAATTTCGATTCTTACTGGCTGTCATATACCAAATTTGATATTAAGAAACTAAACAACAGGTCGACAGGTCAAAAAAAAAACAACACTTCTACTCGTTCGGTATTAAATCTATACGATGGCCTATACAGATTCCTTATTTGTTTCTTTTTCTTGTTTATAAATTCAGTTTTTTCTTTCTTTTTTTTTTCTCTTTTCATTTTCTCGCCATCTTTGTTCTGAATATTTTCATACATTTGAAGTTTCTATACAATAACATCTTTCTAAGCATGATATGCTGAGTTATTTTGTTTGAATCCAATTGAAAGGTTTTTCTTCCTTTCTGTTTTTCTATATTTCTTCTTTCTTTCTGTTTTATATTGTATTCTTTGTACATATTCTATTTTCTTGGCTCTATTTAATTTACATATTTCTTTCTTTCTTTCTTTCTTTCTTTCTTTCATTCTTTCTTCTGTTCTTTCTTTATTTCTTTCTTGTTTGTCTCTTTCATCCATTATTTGTCTATTTCCACCATGTAAAATTCTTTGATTTTTTTTCTTCCGTGTTACTGTGTGCCTTTGTTTCGTTCTTCCTTTTAACCATTCTTTCTTTATTTTGGCTTCTTTCTTTCTTTTTTTCTGTATTACTCTCCCCCCATATTGCATCCATTCACTAGTATTTTTTCTTTCTTTCCCCCGTATTAAACTTCTTTCTTTCTTTCTTTCTTTCTTTCTTTTACATCTTCCTTCTTTCCTTCATCCTTTTTTCGTTTCCATCTTTCTTCCTTCCTTTCTTCATTTCTTTCTTTCTTTTCAAATCTTCCTTCCTTCCTTTGTTTCTTTTTTTCTCTCTGTCTTTCTTTCTTTCTTTTTTCTTTTACAACTTCCTTCTTTCCTTCATTTCTTTCTTTTCAATCTTTCTTCCTTCCTTTGTTTCTTTCTTTCTCTCTGTCTTTCTTTCTTTCTTTCGTTCTTTCTTTCTTTCTTTCGTTCTTTCTTTTCTATCTTTCTTCCTTGCTTCCTTTCTTTCTTCGTTCCTTTCTTTCTTTCTTCCATTCCTCATTTCTTTCTTTCTTTTCCATCTTTCTTCCTTTATTTCTTTCTCTCTTTTCCATCTTTCTTTCTTTCTTTCTTTTCTATCTTTCTTCTTTCTTTTACATCTTCCTTCTTTCCTTGATTTCTTTTTTTCGTTTTCATCTTTCTTTCTTCCTTTCTTCATTTCTTTCTTTCTTTTCCACCTTTATTCCATCCTTAGTTTCTTTCTTTCTCTCTGTCTTTCTTTCTTTTTTCTTTTACATATTCCTTCTTTCCTTCCTTTCTTTCTTTTCCATCTTTCTTCCTTTCTTTCTTTCTTTCTCTCTATCTTTCTTTCTTTCTTTCTTTTACATCTTTCTTTCCATCTTTTTCTTTTCTTTCTTTCTTTTTCTTTCTTTTACATCTTTTCTTTTTTCTTTTTACATCTTCCTTTCTCTCTATCTTTCTTTTCTTTCTTTCTTTTTTACATCTTCCTTCCTTTCTTCATTTCTTTCTTTCTTTCCATCTTTCTTTTGCTTTTCCTTTCTTTTTCTTTTTCCTTTCTTCATTTCTTTTCTTCCTTTTCCATCTTTTCTTTATTTCTTTCTTTCTTTTCCATCTTTCTTTTTCTTTCTTTCTTTTACATCTTCCTTCTTTTCCTTCATTTCTTTCTTTCTTTTCCATCTTTCTTCCTTTTGCTTCCTTCCTTTTCTTTCTTCTTTCTTTCTTTTCCATCTTTCTTCCTTTCTTTCTTTCTTTCTCTCTATCTTTCTTTCTTTCTTTCTTTTACATCTTCCTTCTTTCCTTCATTTCTTTCTTTCTTTTCCATCTTTCTTCCTTGCTTGCTTCCTTTCTTTCTTTCTTCCTTTCTTCATTTCTTTCTTCCTTTTCCATCTTTCTTCCTTTATTTCTTTCTTTCTTTTCCATCTTTCTTTCTTTCTTTCTTTTACATCTTCCTTCTTTCCTTCATTTCTTTCTTTCTTTTCCATCTTTCTTCCTTGCTTGCTTCCTTTCTTTCTTTCTTCCTTTCTTCATTTCTTTCTTCCTTTTCCATCTTTCTTCCTTTATTTCTTTCTTTCTTTTTTCCATCTTTCTTTCTTTCTTTCTTTTTACATCTTCCTTCTTTCCTTCATTTCTTTCTTTCTTTTCCATCTTTTCTTCCTTTTATTTCCTTCTTTCTTCCTTTCTTCATTTCTTTCTTCCTTTTCCATCTTTCTTTCTTTCTTTCTTTTACATCTTCCTTCTTTCCATCATTTCTTTCTTTCTTTTCCATCTTTCTTTCTTTTCCATAATTCTTTCTTTCTTTCTTTCTAATTACCTTCTTTCTTTCTGTCTTTTTTCTTTATATCATTCTTTTTTATTTTCTTTTATTCTTTCTTTCCTTTTCTTTTTTCTTTCTTCTTTTTGTTTATTTGTTTGTTTTTTTTTTGTTTCTTTCTTTCTTTCTTTCTTTCTTTTTGTTTATCTCATTCTTGTCGAATCTCCTCCTTCTCAATTATTGTTTCCTTTATAGCAACTTCACTCTTTTTCCTTTTTCACCCGACCTTATGTTTCTTCGTCTCAATTTCATTTCTCTCCTCTCTTTCTCTCACTCTCTCTCTCTCATCTCTTTCTCTCTCTCTCTCTATCTATCTATCTATCTATCTATCTATCTATCTATCTATCTGTCTTTCATCTTTCTTCTTCTCATTCTCGCAATGTTTTTTTTTTTCCTTCGACATTTCATTCTATCTTCCTTGTTTTTCTCTCAGTCCAGACTCCTGTAACTATGGAGATAAACAGTCCACGCCGCGGGAATGCCACCCTCCCCCTTCAACATTGTGATTCCAGCTCCTGCAAGTCTTAGATAAACATCCCTTCACGCCATGCTGGGTCGTAAGAGGCTAGGTTCATCTTTCACCATTCATCAAATTCTTAGAAAATTCGCCAGTTATACGAATCCAATAAATGCGAAGAAATAAGTAAAAAAATAAAAAAAAAAAAAAAAATAAATCGCATAAAGACGAAGATTATTATGATTATAACATACATTAAAAAAATATCAGAAATCTACTCTAAAGACTGGAGGGTATTTATAACAGAGTGCGAACCAGACGTAGTACATGCATTAACTGCTACCATTTGTGAGCAGTTGTCGTTCTATTATCATTAAAGTTATTATCCCAAGAGAATTTATATATACTAGTCAATATATTTCATCTTCAACTTCGCAACTTCCCTTGTACTAAAACATACATAAAATATATAAATATATATAAATATATATATATATATATATATATATATATATATATATATATATATATATATATATATATATATATACGTATCTCCAACGAATTAAATAATGTTTATGTTGGTCACACAACAAACTCGCTTTCACAACGCTTGACACTACATTTGAATGATAACTCTAACATTTTTAGACATTTAAAACAACATGCCTGGCCGCACACACAATTCCAGAAAATCCTTGTAGAAAACCCAACTATACTTAAACATGAAAACAATAAACAAAAACTAAAAATTCTTGAAGCTATATACATAAAACAGTTGAAACCTAACCTGAACAAAATAAACTATGAAATATTCATAAATGCCTATAATTGGTAACAGAAGCCATTGGTATATACCATTGGCTTCCCATACTTAATACTTCTCGAATTCACTCTTGCATGGTCATGTGTTACGTCATGACCCGCGATGCGATTTTCGCTTCCAGCGTCTAATATGCACGAGTTTATTGTTGCTTGGAAAACACAAACAGACTATCATCACTGTTTTGTCCGTGTATTGCTTAATATATTGTAATGTAATTGTCATCTTTGATAATGGCTTATGCAATCCGAAAGCTCAGATAGGATTAAAAAAATATATATCAATATTGGGATTTTCTTTCTAGGTTTAATGATAATGTTATTAAGCTTATCAGACGATATGAAAAGAATTTACAGAAAATAAATAGACAACACTTATCTATATTATATAATGAAACATGTATCAATGAAAAAATGCTGACAGACTGTTTCACTGTATCACAGCTCATCAGTGTGGCTAGACGTCCGGTTGCCTCTAGCTAGGATCGAAACCCGCCTGAATTGGCGTCAGTCGGAGATTTTACCCCTGTATATATTAAGACATGTTCTGTTTACTTATTTGCCGTAGGATCCTTTCATATTCCCTGATAAGCTTTTTGTGTGATTATTGAAGGACGAGAGGAAAACGTCGTGTTGATTCATATTTTATTTATTATCCGAGAACTTTCGGCATAGCATAATGTCGTCATCAGGTTATATTTAATTATGTAAGTGTTGTGGTGTTCATGGTTGTAAAAGACAAAAATTGTTGTTCATCTGAAAATTAACTTTATCAGCAAAGTATGTTAACACCTCAAACAGACTGAAGAGGGGAGAAACAGAAAGCCTTAACTCTTAAGAAACTTATATAATGCACTATTACTGAGCCGCCAGTAATCACGAGAGCCAAAGATGTTAGAGGCAGTGCGCTTCTTTATCCTCTAGGCAAAAAGGGACTAAGCTCCTTCGAGGACTCGTTTACATTTATTACCAGCAGCAACAAATATGCATCTGTTGTGCCTGGAGTTGTCATGCCGGTATAGCCAAAAGTAGTGCTTCCTGTGAGCAATTTTAGTGATAATTCACTTACCCTTGAAATAGTATCCCGAATATAACAACAAAGGTCTTGCATGTGAATGCCGGAATATTTTCGGCAAACGGTAAGAGAGCCTGAAACAGATAATTCAGTGCTAGCAAGTTAAGTTGGTTTCGCAAAGTGCAAAGATATCCGGCTACCATTTCAAGAGAAATGAATTTATACAGTTGAAGTTGAAGTGGTTATCACGAACATTTGAGAACGAAAGAAAGTTTGTAGTTATGTAGCTTTTTGTTTACTGGATTTTAAGTGTTTTTTTTTCTTCATGTTTTTAGTGATTAGATGGCTTTTTGTTTACTGGTGTTTAGGTGTTTTTTTTTTGTTTACTCGATTATAATTGTTTTTTTTTGTTTCCTGGATTTTAGGTGTTTTTCTTGTTTACTGGTGTTTAGTTGGCTTTTTGTTTACTGGTTTTTAGTGGTTAGGTTGCTTTTTGTTTATTGTTTTTTTAGGTTGCTTTTTTGCTGGTTTTAAGTGGTAATTGTTTTTATTGGTGTTTAGGTGGCTTTTTGTTTACTGGTGTTTAGGTGGCATTTTGTTCACTGGTTTTTAAGTGCATTTAAGTGGATTTTAGGTTGATATTTGTTCACTGATTTTTAGTGGTTAGGTTTCTTTTTGTTTACTGTTTTTTTTAAATGGCTTTGTGTTTACGGGATTTTTGGTGGCTTTTTGTTCACTGGAGTTTAGGTGGTTTTCTGTTTACTGTTTTTTGTGGTTAGGTGGCTTTTTGTTTACTGTTGTTTACGTTGTTTTTGTTTACTGTTTTTGGTTTCTTTTTCTTTACTGGTTTTTAGGTAGCTTTTTGTTCACGGGTTTTTAGGTGGCTTTTTGTTTACTGGTTTCTAGTGGTTTGGTAGGTTATTGTTTACAGTTATTTTTGTGGGGTAGGTGGATATTTCTTTACTGTTTTTTTGGTGGTTTTTCGTTTCCTGATTTTTTTGTAAATAGTCGCTGTTTGTTTACTGGTTTTTAGGTGGATTTTTGTTTACTATTTTTTAGGCGGCTTTTTGCTTACTGGTTTTTAGGCGGTTTTTTGTTTACTGGTTTTTAGGTGGATTTTTGTTTACTGGTTTTTAGGTTGATTTTTGTTAACTGGTTTTTAGGCGGTTTTTTGTTTACTGGTTTTTAGGCGGCTTTTAGTTTACTGGTTTTTAAGCGGATTTTTGTTTACTGGTTTTTAGGTGGTTTTTTGTTTACTGGTTTTTAGGTGGATTTTTGTTAACTGGTTTTTAGGTGGATTTTTGTTTACATGTTTTTAGGCGGCTTTTTGTTTACTGGTTTTTAGGCGGCATTTTGTTTACTGGTTTTTAGGCGGATTTTTGTTTACTTGTTTTTAGGCGGATTTTTGTTTACATGTTTTTAGGCGGCCTTTTGTTTACTGGGTTTTAGGCGGATTTTTGTTTACTGGTTTTTAGGTGGATTTTTGTTTTGATTTTTTAGGCGGCTTTTTTTGTTTACTGGTTTTTAGGCGGATTTTTTGTTTACATGTTTTTAGGCGGCTTTTTGTTTACTGGTTTTTAGGGGGTTTTTTGTTTACTGGATTTTAGGTGGATTTTTTGTTTACTGGTTTTTAGGCGGATTTTTGTTTACTGGTTTTTAGGTGGATTTTTTGTTTACTGGTTTTTAGGTGGATTTTTGTTTACTGGTTTTCTCGTATTTCTTTACATAGCGTTTGTTATAAGGTGGTTTTTAGTGAGGAGATAAAAAAGAAAAAACTGATATATTGATCACTATCAGTCGTCAATGACGTTAAAAACTACTTAGAAGGTGGGTGAGACGAAAGCGCAATTTGGCCTCCGGGTTTCCCATCGAAAATAAACACAGAGACACCTAGCATTCTGCGACATGGCTCTACAAATAACTATAGATTATACAACTGTTGATCAAAGAATCCTCTCTAAGCTCTAGCAAATATTTCAGTCTTCTAAAAACCAGGTGAATGCAGCTGCTTGCAAACTGTCAACGCGGTACGCTTATAATGGAAAGCCGAAGTTGCTGATTAGTCTAATCGTCAAAAAATTAAAACTGTTAAAGCATTATGGCCATAGAAGAAAGAACCGGTAAACCATATCTTACACCGAGGACACGAGATTATCATCTACGCTTGATCAATAGACATGTAAGTAGTGTACACCGGATGCAGGTAAAAGCATAACTCAGCCTTGATTCCAATCCTACGGGATGTATAAACAGCCTCCTTACAAGAAAATCCTGGATCAATCGCCGATGACTAAACCCTGCGGCAGGTAAAACTGGGTTAACATAGTGCCTGTAGCACTCATAATGCTGTTATCATATATATATATATATATATATATATATATATATATATATATATATATATATATATATATATATATATATATATATTGTTTGAATAAAAAAACAGACCAATTTAAGGTCCCATGTATTCACCACAACCCCTTTAAGAGGGCTCTGGATTATCAGACTTTACTTCCAAAGGTTGAAATGAAAATGAAAAGAAATTCACACGTTTTTGACGGACTGCATCAAGCATATGTAAAATTAACGAAGTGAGGAAGTGAGGTGGGAGAGAAGATAAGATATGAGTGGGTTAGATGTACCATTTCAATTCCTTATTCTTAATCCCACTCTGTGT